CATGGGGCTTTAACTCTGGGCCTGGGCGCTGTCCCTCAGTTCTTTGGCTCAAAGCGACTGCTCTACCACTTGAGCCACAGCGCCACTTCCAGCTTTTTCTGCTTATGTGGTGCTAAAGAATGGAATCCAGGGCCTCATGCATACAAGGCAAGCACTCTACCACTGATCCACCTTCCCAGCCCAAGCTAAAGAGTTCTGAGAGAGGTGGCAGCAGGTACACTGGGACAGTCACCAAACATGAACTGCTACACTATGTGGCTCATCCCAGGTTAAAATCAGAAGCAAAGCCAGGCACCGGTAGCTCACACCTGTAATCCTAGCTACTCAGGAGACTGAGATCTAAGGAGCATGGTTTAAAGCCAGCCGGGCAGAAAAGCCCCCGAGAGACTCTTGTTAGGAAAATGGAGGAGAAAGAAAGGAGACAGGCCAGACTCAATCTTCTATAGGCCAGGACTGTTTATTGAGATAGAACAGCAAGGCACAGCCTTCCTGAGGGCTTGGAGACTGGGCAGAGCGCTGGGGCAGGGGCTGGGTGTCCACAGGGTCTTAGCAAGGAGATGGAAGGAGACGGGTTACACGCGTTTAGTTTGGGAGGGGAGTGACTGCAGGTGCGGCAGTGAATGCGGTGAGTATTCCCTAATCCGAGGTCGCAAGCTCTTCAGTGTTCAGACAGCTCTACTCTGTGAAGGTCACACCTGGCTGGGGCCACCACTGGAGGTTTACAGCCAGGCTCAGGCTGACTACCTGCTTATGTCAGGCAGCCTGCGCCTGTCTTTGGTGGCTTGTCTGGTACCTGTACACACCTGGGAAAACAGGGTCCGGGGCCATCCTTCACTTACATCCAATAAACTAATCAGGAAAAGCCAGAGGTGGCGCCTTGGCTCAAGTGGTAGAAGGCTAGCCCTGAGCACAGAGGCTCAAGGACACTGCCCAGGCGCTGAGCGGAGCCTCATCACAGGCCAAGAAAACGCTCAGGGATAGCACATGGGCCCTGAGTTCAAGTCCCATGACCCACAAAACACAAGAGCAAATCCAAACATGGCACAGCGGTACCCTTCTCTGAAGGTCCTCACAGGACGCTGGCAGCCAAGCATCGAAGCTGAAAAGCAGGGGGAGTTGTGCCCTGTATGTCAGCCCTCCCCAGCCCCCTTCCCCACATTCTCTCTTCCGCCCTCCATCTGCTCCACACCCATGTTTGGTTATGTAAGTCATGACTAAGCCTGGAACCTTCCAGCCCGCCCTCTGACGTGTCTTTCTGGGAAGGTGGCAGGGCACTTGGTGCCCCTTGATCTCCAGGCCACTGTCCTGATGGTGGAGCAATCACACGTGACCTGTGACCTTCAGGGCACCAGAATTCTCTGAAGCAAAGGGGACAGGCAGGGGTGGGGCAGACCGTCCCTGCCCCCAGCAAGCTCAGCCCAGGCGTGCCCACAGTGTGCCCACAGCGGCTGCCGGCCCAGCCCCAACCCGACCCTGAGCCAATGGCCCCAAGCTCTGAAGCAGTGATCTGTGGGTAAAAGGGATTGTAGGTGGTCCAGTGACTCACTGCCCTTCTTGAACATTCCAGCACTTCATCAAGGTTTTCTGGGTCAGGCAGCTTCAGGTTTTAAGAGCCACTTGATACCCATGTCCTGAGTCCAAATGGGGCCCAGAGCCTGGAGTCATATGAGTCCATAGCTGCCCACAGCCCAGTGGCTGCCAGGTTCCTTGTGGGGGCGGGACTGCCAAGCCGTGTCCCTGGCCTCTCACCGAATGTCCCTAGACATTGTGACCCCAAAGGACGTAAAGTTGAGCAGCTTAGTCTCTTAGCTTCTACTATGCTGATAACCTCTGCACAGTCCCCTCTTGCCCCTGGTGTCTTCTCCACCCCTCCCCCTCCTCTTTCCTCTCTCCCTCCCTGGGTCTAAAATCAGAGTTGTTTATCTCAGAACCTTCTGGACTCTGGAAAAAGCTGAGGTCACAAAGCTCGTGACTCAGCTGCTAAACAACACAGATCATAAGACTGAAATGAGGCACCCGCCAAAATCAGGCAACCAGGTGTGGCTGCAGGCCAGCTCCCCTCCCCCGCGGGCCAGCCACTCACCCGCCACCTCACTCAGCTTTGGGCTCCTTTGCAAACGTGGCCTGGCATTTAGAAATAACCTTCACTGAAGGCAGTAGCAGGAATCACGAGTGTCTCTGACTGATCCTGGAAAAATACATTTTAATGCCCCAGTAACAGTCAAAGCCGAACCCGAGCAGCTCCAGGCTTGCCTAAAGGGACTCCAGTTAGCACAGGAAATAAACACCACCCAGCAGTTTGGAGAGCAGGGATGGGGTGGGACAGCTTAGGAACAGGGGATAAAGGCTGTGCTCACCCAGGCTGAAATGAAGGTGAAATTAGTTTTCACACAAACACACAAAACTAAGAGCTCAAGGCCAGGGCATCTACACATAAAAGTGGGCTGGTGGCTCACACCTGTAATCCTAGCTACTGAGAATTGTGGTTCAAAGCCAGCCTGGACAGGAAAGCCTGTGAGACTCACACCCAATAAACTCCTCAAAAAGCTGGAAGTGGAGCTGTGGCTCAAGTGGTAGTATACCAGCCTTGAGCCACAGCAGCTTAGAAACAGCTTAGAAACCTAGGGCCTCATGCATGCAAGGCAAGCGCTCTACCATGGAGCCATCTTCCCAGCCTCGTCCACAAAACTCTTATCTCCAATAAACCACTCAAAAACTGGAAGTGGGGGGCTGGGAAGGTGGCTCAGTGGTAGAGCGCTTGCCTTGCATGCCTGAGGCCCTGGGTTCGATTCCTCAGCACCACATAAGCAAAAAGAAAAAAGCTGGAAATAGTGCTATGGCTCAAGTGGTAGAGCGCTAGCCTTGAGCTGAAGAGCTGAGGGACAGCGCCCAGGCCCAGAGTTCAGGCCCCACGCCAGACCCTAAAAAAAAAACAAAAAACCTGGAAGTGGGGCTATGGCTCAAGCGGTAGAGCGCTCTCCTGGAGCTGAAGAGCGCAGGGACAGCGCCCAAGCCCAGAGTTTAAGGCCCACGACTGACCAAAAAAAAAAAAAAACCAACATAGTTTTGACTCCCATTTTTTTCATGCATGCAAGGCAAGCACTCTACCACTAAGCTACCTTCCCAGCCCCATATTTCTTTGAAAGCTTTAAGAGTAGAAGTTCAAACACCTGTGGACTTCTACGTATCTGAAGGTCCAGAAGGAACCATGGGTGGGGAGGGCTGGCCGCAAACCTTTGGAAGTGTTTTAAATCCCACTGCAGTTCCTCTAGGGTTCACAGTACAGACTGTGGTAAAAAATATTGTTGATTTCCCCGTTCCTCTCCCTACTTGTAAGTACAGTTTGTCTATAGGATTCCATTTTGTACGTTGGCAATTTCTTCTTCCAGAAATGGGAGAGGTTCCCTTCCTGTCTTTCAAATCTCAGGCCTTATATTTCAAACAAATTTCAAACAAGTGTTTGAAGTCACAGATGTGGATGGGATTTGGACACTGGCCAGATCACAAGAGCACGCGGTACCCAGGTGTATCCGTGTTTGTTTTCTTCGGTCTGCCTCTGGGGCTGGGGCTCGGTGGGCGAGGACACTTGCCCTTTCTACCAGACCAAAACGGTCTCGGGCTTAGCGAGCTCAGTGTACACGTCCAGGTCTCCGTGGTGACACCCAAGGCCCGAGCCCGGCCGGGCTTCCTTCCCTTCGGCGCCGGGGGTCGCCGCAGGCCCCGGGCCTAGGCGGATCCCCAGGCCCCACTCGGGGGCGCCCGACCCCGCCCGGTCCCCCAGGTGCCCCAGTCCCGGCCCCGCAGGGTCATCAGGGCCCCCGGGCCCCAGTCCCGGCCCCGCAGGGTCATCAGGGCCCCCGGGCCCCAGTCCCGGCCCCGCAGGGCCCCCGGGCCCCAGTCCCGGCCCCGCAGGGTCACCAGGGCCCCCGGGCCCCAGTCCCGGCCCCGCAGGGTCACCAGGGCCCCCGGGCCCCAGTCCCGGCCCCGCAGGGTCATCAGGGCCCCAGACCCGGCCCCGCAGGGTCATCAGGGTCCCCGGGCCCCAGTCCCGGCCCCGCAGGGCCCCCGGGCCCCAGTCCCGGCGGCCCCGCAGGGTCATCAGGGCCCCCGGGCCCCAGTCCCGGCCCCGCAGGGCCCCCGGGCCCCAGTCCCGGCCCCGCAGGGTCATCAGGGCCCCCGGGCCCCAGTCCCGGCCCCGCAGGGTCATCAGGGCCCCCGGGCCCCAGTCCCGGCCCCGCAGGGCCCCCGGGCCCCAGTCCCGGCCCCGCAGGGTCACCAGGGCCCCCGGGCCCCAGTCCCGGCCCCGCAGGGTCATCAGGGCCCCCGGGCCCCAGTCCCGGCCCCGCAGGGCCCCCAGGCCCCGCCGGCCTCAGATCTGCCGAGTCATCGGCCTGGTCGCCGAGCCCGGGCGGCGGCGGCGGCGGGGAGGGCGCGGGCCGCGCGGGGCCGGGCTGGGCCCCAGCGGACCTCCGCGAGACCCAGGCGCCCGAGGGTCGGGAACTGGACCCCGCGCCAACCCCGCAGGCCGGGGGCAGGGCGGGCGCCCACCGGGGCCGGGACCCTGACCCGGAAGGAAACGCTCGGCGCGACCCCTCGTCGGCCACTGTTTGGCGGGTGTCCCGCGCCGGGGACCGTTGGGCCGGGGGCGGGGGGGGGGGGGGCCGGTGGGGGAGTGCGGGGCTCTCGCGGGCGGCAGTCCGCTCCGCCCCGGCGATCCGGCCCGGGCTTTCGCGGCCCCCGCCCCGCCCCCGCCCCCGCGGCCAGGGCGGCGCGTTGCGGCCGCAGCGCGCACGGAGCGCGGTGATCCCTCCGCCGGGCCGCGCCGCGCGGGCGGCCCCGCCCCGCCCCGCCCCAGGCAGCCGCCACGCGTCGGGCCCCCGGGGGGGGGGCCAGTCTCGGAGGTCGGATCCCGGGCTGTTCCGGGGCTCGTTTCCGCCCGCGGGGGCGGAATGCGCGTGGGAAAGTAGTCCCTTCCAGGCGCTTCCGCGGAGGGATCCGGGCGGCCGGGGTATATAAGCCGGCGCCGGGCGCGGCGCAGCGAGTTCCGTCGACGCCGCTCGATCCGACGCTGATCTTCTGCGAGCGCCGCAGCCACAGCCGCCACCGGTGGGTGAGCACCCGCCGTCGCGCCCGCGGGGCGGAGGCCCGACGGCCGTCGGGCTGGCCGGCCACCCGGGCTCCCGAGCCCTGCTCCCCGGGGGCCCGCGCGCTCGCCGCCACTGCCCCTGAGGCGAGGCAAGATGGCGGCCGGTCGGGATCCTTAGGTTAAGACTCGGAAGCGGGCCCCGAGGTCTGAGAGGCCAGCCTAGCGGGCGGCGGGGTGCGGGGGGCCCCTCGAGGCCGTGGCGGGGGTGGGTGCGTGTGGCGGGTTTGTCTCGGTGGGGGCGGGTGGGGCCGTTAACGGGCGGGGCGGGGCGGGAGGCGCGCTCCTGTGACGTCACAGTCGGGGCGGCGCCCGGCCGCCCGTGTGTCGCGGGGTGTTCTCCGCAGCTGGACACAGGGTCCGGGGCTGCGGGAGACGGCCGGGCGGACGGGATCCAGACACCGACAGGGGGAGGAAGCGAAGGGAGGCTCTGGAGTTTTGTCTTGGTGACGGTTACGGAGCCAGGTTTTGAGTTTGTCACCGCCACCACTGCTAGATACTAGCTGGTTTTTTAACGAAGGCAAGTTTTTTTCTTTCTACGTATGTGCCACGGTCACGGGATTTGTCTTAGGGCCTAGGCGCTGTCTTGCATGTTTTTCCCCAAGGCAGAGTTCCACCACGGGAGCCACGCCTCCATTTACAGCTTTTTGCTGGGTAGTTGGGAGATGAGATTTCCATGGACTTTTCTGAAGGGCTGGCTTTGAACGTTGATCCTCAGGTTTTAAATCTGAGAATCACGGTTAGAATCTAGCTTGGGTAAAAAAAAAAAAAAAAAAGCCTATGAGACTTGTCTTCAAATAACCATAGAAAGCCTAAGCTCTGTCTACAGTGACTGGGCACCAGTGGAGCAAGGACACCAGTCCCTAATTTCAAGCTCAAGTACCAGCAGAAGGAAAGCTGTGATTTTTCTTGTGTTGTTGTCATCGTCTTCATTTGTTTTTCAGTACTAGGGCTTGAAATTAGGGTCTCTGGGAGCTGTCCCTCCTCAGTGTTTCCTCAGGTCTGGCACACCACCACATGAGCCACAGCTCTATTTCTGGCTCATATAGTCATTACTTGGAGATGACTAAGACTTTCTTGCCGCAGTCTGGCATTAAACTACAATTCTCAGGTCTCAAGATTCTAACTAGGTACAAGGGTGAACCAAGGTCACCTGTCAGTCTGGATACTCCTTTTTTTTTTTGACTTATTTTTTTTATTTTTTTGGGTCCGGTCGTGGGGCCTGAACTCTGGGCTTGGGCGCTGTCCTCAGCTCTTCAGTTCAAGGCTAGTGCTCTACCACTTGAGCCACAACACCACTTCCAGCTTTTTTTCTTTATGCTTATGTGGTGCTGAGGAATCGAAACCAGGGCCTCAGGTATGCAAGGAAGTGCTCTACCTCTGGGCCTGGGTGCTGTCCCTCAGTTTTTTTTTTTTTTTTTTTTTTGTCGGTCGTGGGGCTTGAACTCTGGGCCTGGGCGCTGTCCCTCAGCTCTTCAGCTCAAGGCGAGTGCTCTACCACTTGAGCTACAGCGCCACTTCCGGTTTTCTGGTGGTTTATTGGAGATAGGAGTCTCACGGTCTCTCCTGCCCGGGCTGGCTTTGAACCGCGATCCTCAGATCTCAGCCTCCTGAGTAGCTAGGATTACAGGCGTGAGCCACCGGCGCCCGGCTGTCCCTCAGTTTTTTAGCACAAGGCAAGAGCTCTCCAACTTTTGAACAACAAGGCCATTTCTGGTTTTCTGGTGGTTTATTGGAGTTAAATTTTTTTTTTTCCTTTGTTGTAATAGACAATGCAGATCTTCGTGAAGACCCTGACTGGCAAGACCATCACCCTGGAGGTGGAGCCCAGTGACACCATCGAGAATGTCAAGGCTAAGATCCAGGACAAGGAGGGTATACCACCTGATCAGCAGAGGCTGATCTTTGCAGGCAAACAGCTGGAAGATGGCCGTACCTTGTCTGACTATAACATCCAGAAGGAGTCCACTCTGCACCTGGTGCTCCGTCTCCGAGGTGGCATGCAGATCTTCGTGAAGACCCTGACTGGCAAGACCATCACCCTGGAGGTGGAGCCCAGTGACACCATCGAGAATGTCAAGGCTAAGATCCAGGACAAGGAAGGTATTCCCCCTGACCAGCAGAGGCTGATCTTTGCAGGCAAGCAGCTGGAAGATGGCCGTACTCTGTCTGACTACAACATCCAGAAGGAGTCCACTCTGCACCTGGTGCTCCGTCTCCGAGGTGGCATGCAAATCTTCGTGAAGACCCTGACTGGCAAGACCATCACCCTGGAGGTGGAGCCCAGTGACACCATCGAGAACGTCAAGGCCAAGATCCAGGACAAGGAAGGTATTCCCCCTGACCAGCAGAGGCTGATCTTTGCAGGCAAGCAGCTGGAAGATGGCCGTACTCTGTCTGACTACAACATCCAGAAGGAGTCCACTCTGCACCTGGTGCTTCGTCTCCGAGGTGGCATGCAGATCTTCGTGAAGACCCTGACTGGCAAGACCATTACCCTGGAGGTGGAGCCCAGTGACACCATCGAGAATGTCAAGGCCAAGATCCAGGACAAGGAAGGTATTCCCCCTGACCAGCAGAGGCTGATCTTTGCGGGCAAGCAGCTGGAAGATGGCCGTACTCTGTCTGACTACAACATCCAGAAGGAGTCCACTCTGCATCTGGTGCTCCGTCTCCGAGGTGGCATGCAGATCTTCGTGAAGACCCTGACTGGCAAGACCATCACCCTGGAGGTGGAGCCCAGTGACACCATCGAGAATGTCAAGGCTAAGATCCAAGACAAGGAAGGTATTCCCCCTGACCAGCAGAGGCTGATCTTTGCGGGCAAGCAGCTGGAAGATGGCCGTACCCTGTCTGACTACAACATCCAGAAAGAATCCACTCTGCACCTGGTGCTCCGTCTCCGAGGTGGCATGCAGATCTTCGTGAAGACCCTGACTGGCAAGACCATCACCCTGGAGGTGGAGCCCAGTGACACCATTGAGAATGTCAAGGCCAAGATCCAAGACAAGGAAGGTATTCCCCCTGACCAGCAGAGGCTGATCTTTGCGGGCAAGCAGCTGGAAGATGGCCGTACTCTGTCTGACTACAACATCCAGAAGGAGTCCACTCTGCACCTGGTGCTTCGTCTCCGAGGTGGCATGCAGATCTTCGTGAAGACCCTGACTGGCAAGACCATCACCCTGGAGGTGGAGCCCAGTGACACCATCGAGAACGTCAAGGCCAAGATCCAGGACAAGGAAGGTATTCCCCCTGACCAGCAGAGGCTGATCTTTGCAGGCAAACAGCTGGAAGATGGCCGTACTCTGTCTGACTACAACATCCAGAAGGAGTCCACTCTGCACCTGGTGCTCCGTCTCCGAGGTGGCATGCAGATCTTCGTGAAGACCCTGACTGGCAAGACCATTACCCTGGAGGTGGAGCCCAGTGACACCATCGAGAATGTCAAGGCTAAGATCCAGGACAAGGAAGGTATTCCCCCTGACCAGCAGAGGCTGATCTTTGCGGGCAAGCAGCTGGAAGATGGCCGTACCCTGTCTGACTACAACATCCAGAAGGAGTCCACTCTGCACCTGGTGCTTCGTCTCCGAGGTGGCATGCAGATCTTTGTGAAGACCCTGACTGGCAAGACCATCACCCTGGAGGTGGAGCCCAGTGACACCATCGAGAATGTCAAGGCTAAGATCCAGGACAAGGAAGGTATTCCCCCTGACCAGCAGAGGCTGATCTTTGCAGGCAAGCAGCTGGAAGATGGCCGAACCCTGTCTGACTACAACATCCAGAAGGAGTCCACTCTGCACCTGGTGCTCCGTTTGAGGGGAGGTTTTTAATTTCCCCTTTTAAACTCATGACAAGTTTCATTGCACTTTTGTTTAAATAAATAAAGTTCTTGCATTCCTGAATAGTTTAATGTGTGTATTACAGTGCTTATCAATATAGAACAATAATGAACCAATAGGTTAATCATGAAGTAAAAAATGTCAATGCAAAGGAGAGGACTATTATAATTTGAGTATAGTTAGGAGCCACTGCCCTGTCAGCTGGTAAGAAATTGTATATATGCCACATACAGTTGTTCAAGCCTGTTTTTTTAGATACTCCAGCTTTTTTTCTTTTTGTGGGGGCGGGGGGGGGTTGGGCTTGAACTCTGGGCCTGGGCATTGTCCTTTAGCTCTTCAGCTCAAGGTGAATGTTCTACCTTGAGCCACTGGGCCAGTTCTAATTTTTTGGTGATTAATCAGAGATAAGTCCTATGAGACTTGGTTGGGCTGGCTTTGAACTGGGATCCTCAGATCTCAAGCTTCCTGAGTAGCTCTAGGATTACAGGCATGAGCCCGTGGTGCCCAGCGGGTTTTTTTTTTTGTTTGTTTTTAACAGGAAGTAAATAAGATTGTGTAATGGGGCCTTGGAACCGGTTTTCTTAGCTCTAACCAATATAAAAGGAAGTGCAGCAGTGACTCAGCTAAGCATGAGTACAAATGCTAAGGGACAACATCTAGGCCTTGAGCTCAAGCCCTGGGACTAAAAAAAGTTACACAGTAGTTTGGTGTGCCCCTTTCTACTGGAGGCTCTCAAAAGGTAGTGGATACGGGCTGAGAAGGTGGCTCAGTGGTAGAGTGCTTGCCTTGCATGCATGAGGCCCTGGGTTCGATTCCTCAGCACCACATAAGCAAAAAGAAAAAAGCCAGAAGTGGTGCTGTGGCTCAAGTGGTAGAGCGCTAGCCTTGAGCTGAAGGACAGCGCCCAGGCCCAGAGTTCAGGCCCCACGACCGGACCCCCCCCCAAAAAAATAGTGGATGGGGTAGGCAGAGGCATAGGGTTGGGGGACGGGGGTGCTTAGATTTAAGGTAGTAGAGCCCTTCCCTAGAATGCCCAGTCCTCTGGTTTAATCTGCAGCACTGAGAAAAATGTTTGAATAAGGAAGCTGATTAATGGGCACTCTCCCATAATCTCTGATACAGACTCAGGTGTGGAGCAGTTCTTAGAATTTTCCTAGTACTAGTTGTACGAGGAGGGCTTGATGAATGTGTGGAGCAGTTCTTAGAATTTTCCTAGTACTAGTTGTACGAGGAGGGCTTGATGAATGTGTGGAGCAGTTCTTAGAATTTTCCTAGTACTAGTTGTACGAGGAGGGCTTGATGAATGTGTGGAGCAGTTCTTAGAATTTTCCTAGTACTAGTTGTACGAGGAGGGCTTGATGAATGTGTGGAGCAGTTCTTAGAATTTTCCTAGTACTAGTTGTACGAGGAGGGCTTGATGAATGTGTGGAGCAGTTCTTAGAACTTTCCTAGTACTAGTTGTACGAGGAGGGCTTGATGAATGTGTGGAGCAGTTCTTAGAATTTTCCTAGTACTAGTTGTACGAGGAGGGCTTGATGAATGTGTGGAGCAGTTCTTAGAATTTTCCTAGTACTAGTTGTACGAGGAGGGCTTGATGAATGTGTGGAGCAGTTCTTAGAACTTTCCTAGTACTAGTTGTACGAGGAGGGCTTGATGAATGTGTGGAGCAGTTCTTAGAATTTTCCTAGTACTAGTTGTACGAGGAGGGCTTGATGAATGTGTGGAGCAGTTCTTAGAACTTTCCTAGTACTAGTTGTACGAGGAGGGCTCGATGAATGTGTGGAGCAGTTCTTAGAACTTTCCTAGTACTAGTTGTACGAGGAGGGCTCGATGAATGTGTGGAGCAGTTCTTAGAACTTTCCTAGTACTAGTTGTACGAGGAGGGCTTGATGAATGTGTGGAGCAGTTCTTAGAACTTTCCTAGTACTAGTTGTACGAGGAGGGCTCGCTGAATGTGTGGAGCAGTTCTTAGAACTTTCCTAGTACTAGTTGTACGAGGAGGGCTTGCTGAATGTGTGGAGCAGTTCTTAGAACTTTCCTAGTACTAGTTGTACGAGGAGGGCTTGCTGAATGTGTGGAGCAGTTCTTAGAACTTTCCTAGTACTAGTTGTACGAGGAGGGCTTGCTGAATGTGTGGAGCAGTTCTTAGAATTTTCCTAGTACTAGTTGTACGAGGAGGGCTTGATGAATGTGTGGAGCAGTTCTTAGAATTTTCCTAGTACTAGTTGTACGAGGAGGGCTTGATGAATGTGTGGAGCAGTTCTTAGAATTTTCCTAGTACTAGTTGTACGAGGAGGGCTTGATGAATGTGTGGAGCAGTTCTTAGAACTTTCCTAGTACTAGTTGTACGAGGAGGGCTTGCTGAATGTGTGGAGCAGTTCTTAGAACTTTCCTAGTACTAGTTGTACGAGGAGGGCTTGCTGAATGTGTGGAGCAGTTCTTAGAATTTTCCTAGTACTAGTTGTACGAGGAGGGCTTGATGAATGTGTGGAGCAGTTCTTAGAATTTTCCTAGTACTAGTTGTACGAGGAGGGCTTGATGAATGTGTGGAGCAGTTCTTAGAATTTTCCTAGTACTAGTTGTACGAGGAGGGCTTGATGAATGTGTGGAGCAGTTCTTAGAATTTTCCTAGTACTAGTTGTACGAGGAGGGCTTGATGAATGTGTGGAGCAGTTCTTAGAACTTTCCTAGTACTAGTTGTACGAGGAGGGCTTGATGAATGTGTGGAGCAGTTCTTAGAATTTTCCTAGTACTAGTTGTACGAGGAGGGCTTGATGAATGTGTGGAGCAGTTCTTAGAACTTTCCTAGTACTAGTTGTACGAGGAGGGCTTGATGAATGTGTGGAGCAGTTCTTAGAATTTTCCTAGTACTAGTTGTACGAGGAGGGCTTGCTGAATGTGTGGAGCAGTTCTTAGAACTTTCCTAGTACTAGTTGTACGAGGAGGGCTTGATGAATGTGTGGAGCAGTTCTTAGAATTTTCCTAGTACTAGTTGTACGAGGAGGGCTTGATGAATGTGTGGAGCAGTTCTTAGAATTTTCCTAGTACTAGTTGTACGAGGAGGGCTTGATGAATGTGTGGAGCAGTTCTTAGAATTTTCCTAGTACTAGTTGTACGAGGAGGGCTTGATGAATGTGTGGAGCAGTTCTTAGAACTTTCCTAGTACTAGTTGTACGAGGAGGGCTTGATGAATGTGTGGAGCAGTTCTTAGAACTTTCCTAGTACTAGTTGTACGAGGAGGGCTTGATGAATGTGTGGAGCAGTTCTTAGAACTTTCCTAGTACTAGTTGTACGAGGAGGGCTTGCTGAATGTGTGGAGCAGTTCTTAGAACTTTCCTAGTACTAGTTGTACGAGGAGGGCTTGCTGAATGTGTGGAGCAGTTCTTAGAATTTTCCTAGTACTAGTTGTACGAGGAGGGCTTGATGAATGTGTGGAGCAGTTCTTAGAATTTTCCTAGTACTAGTTGTACGAGGAGGGCTTGATGAATGTGTGGAGCAGTTCTTAGAATTTTCCTAGTACTAGTTGTACGAGGAGGGCTTGATGAATGTGTGGAGCAGTTCTTAGAATTTTCCTAGTACTAGTTGTACGAGGAGGGCTTGATGAATGTGTGGAGCAGTTCTTAGAACTTTCCTAGTACTAGTTGTACGAGGAGGGCTTGATGAATGTGTGGAGCAGTTCTTAGAACTTTCCTAGTACTAGTTGTACGAGGAGGGCTTGATGAATGTGTGGAGCAGTTCTTAGAACTTTCCTAGTACTAGTTGTACGAGGAGGGCTTGATGAATGTGTGGAGCAGTTCTTAGAACTTTCCTAGTACTAGTTGTACGAGGAGGGCTTGATGAATGTGTGGAGCAGTTCTTAGAACTTTCCTAGTACTAGTTGTACGAGGAGGGCTTGCTGAATGTGTGGAGCAGTTCTTAGAACTTTCCTAGTACTAGTTGTACGAGGAGGGCTTGCTGAATGTGTGGAGCAGTTCTTAGAACTTTCCTAGTACTAGTTGTACGAGGAGGGCTTGATGAATGTGTGGAGCAGTTCTTAGAATTTTCCTAGTACTAGTTGTACGAGGAGGGCTCGATGAATGTGTGGAGCAGTTCTTAGAACTTTCCTAGTACTAGTTGTACGAGGAGGGCTTGATGAATGTGTGGAGCAGTTCTTAGAACTTTCCTAGTACTAGTTGTACGAGGAGGGCTTGCTGAATGTGTGGAGCAGTTCTTAGAACTTTCCTAGTACTAGTTGTACGAGGAGGGCTTGATGAATGTGTGGAGCAGTTCTTAGAACTTTCCTAGTACTAGTTGTACGAGGAGGGCTTGCTGAATGTGTGGAGCAGTTCTTAGAATTTTCCTAGTACTAGTTGTACGAGGAGGGCTTGATGAATGTGTGGAGCAGTTCTTAGAACTTTCCTAGTACTAGTTGTACGAGGAGGGCTTGATGAATGTGTGGAGCAGTTCTTAGAACTTTCCTAGTACTAGTTGTACGAGGAGGGCTTGATGAATGTGTGGAGCAGTTCTTAGAACTTTCCTAGTACTAGTTGTACGAGGAGGGCTTGCTGAATGTGTGGAGCAGTTCTTAGAACTTTCCTAGTACTAGTTGTACGAGGAGGGCTTGATGAATGTGTGGAGCAGTTCTTAGAACTTTCCTAGTACTAGTTGTACGAGGAGGGCTTGCTGAATGTGTGGAGCAGTTCTTAGAATTTTCCTAGTACTAGTTGTACGAGGAGGGCTTGATGAATGTGTGGAGCAGTTCTTAGAACTTTCCTAGTACTAGTTGTACGAGGAGGGCTTGATGAATGTGTGGAGCAGTTCTTAGAACTTTCCTAGTACTAGTTGTACGAGGAGGGCTTGATGAATGTGTGGAGCAGTTCTTAGAATTTTCCTAGTACTAGTTGTACGAGGAGGGCTTGATGAATGTGTGGAGCAGTTCTTAGAACTTTCCTAGTACTAGTTGTACGAGGAGGGCTTGATGAATGTGTGGAGCAGTTCTTAGAACTTTCCTAGTACTAGTTGTACGAGGAGGGCTTGATGAATGTGTGGAGCAGTTCTTAGAACTTTCCTAGTACTAGTTGTACGA